ACCACCACCACCACCACCACCCAGCATCCCGACAGACTCCTGCTTCTTCTGTGGCGGACACCAGACTTCGCCCCCTTGCCGCTGCCCACTAGGTTCACATGGATTCCTCCGTTAAAGTGATTGTGATTGCGAGCATAGATGACACACAAGAGACACATTGGGTTGTTTGCCTGTTACCTTTGGGTGAATGTGGCACCTGATGATTTATCCTTGACTCTTTGGCAAACAAACAAAAAGAAAAAAAACAGAGACTTCCTTCGAGGAGCACTCCACTCTTTGGGACGATGGAATTGGACCAAAGAGAAGCCAATGTCTGTATCTGACAGGACACTAACAAAGCAAAAAGAGGTGCCCTTTAAAAAAAAAACAAAAAAAAAAGTATAGTGGATTGAAACCTGGAAGGAGGGAAAGCGAGAGAAAAAGAAATTAAAAGTATAACTATATCAAGCCCTAGTTTGGGAAGCAAGTGGAGAAAGAAAATATACTGTATACTGTTGTAAAATTACGCTGGACTCTCACAAGAACTGGGAATTTAAGTATTGTAAATGCTATTGTATTGTTCTGCATATTATGTTGTTTCTAATAGATTTTTTAAAAAAAGGATGTGAACTTTTTTCTCTTTTTTTCTGGTTTCTTTCCACACTGTGTGTGTGTGCGCCGTCTCTCCATCAAATTTGACCCCCTGCCTCCCTTCCTCCCCCACTCCCTCCCTCCCTTCCATTGAGTCACTGCATTTTTAAAAGGAAAAAAAAAAAACGTGAATAAATGAGCAATTTGATAATTTCTTGCAGGCCTTTATTTGAACTGTAACAGAGAGTGTGATGGCGATTCAGATTTTTTTTGTTTTGTTTTTTTTTTGTTCCAGTACATGAAGCCCCTTCACTTACATGCAGGGTGCGGCTAATTGTATTACTGTTGCTTTTGTCTACACCTTGTAACTCCGATTTTGGTGATTTTTTAATATTTTCATATCATTTTATTATATGCTTCTCTACTGGCGGAAAGTTTTTAATGGTATAGAAAAATAAATTACCTGACCGTTTGGGGTCGTGAGGCTCAGCACAATGACCCCGAGCTAAACACAGTTTCTAGAGGCTAACATTTTGGATGTTTTTTAATCCGATTGTCCACTTTTTTTATTTTTATTTTCTCCGTTTTACACTCATGAGGACGTCCGCATGGCCAGCGTCATGACAAGGCTAACAGACGTGACACACAGCTCCGGTTAAAGCTAACAAACAATCTGAAAAAAAATCAGAAAAAAAAATCACTGTGGATGGGAAACTACAAGTGTGTGTGTGTGTGTGTGTGTCCCGCAAAACATGTTGTTTCCTGTTTTTCCTCCATGTGTGTTTGTGATCCAGGGGGCCTCTGAAAAGCCTATTCCAGTGTCTTATTGATGTGTTCTATGTCACATGGCTCAGCACTCGCATGGCCAATGGATTCTCTTCCCCTCATCGTTTGATGCGGCCTGATAACAGGGAGAGGCACAGGCTACATGGGAAAACACCATTTATACCACAGTCCATTCATTTTGATTTAACCAGATGATGTAATGCTGATCAACAGACAGGGGAGAATGTAAAAGTCACTGTGTGTGTGTGTGTGTGTGTGTGTGTGGCAGTATGCATGTGAGGGGGAACATGTGTGTGTGTGTGAGTGTGTGTGTGTGCATACGTGCTTGTGTGTGTTATCAATGCTTCCATTATCCATTGCTTCAAACATGTATTACGCACATCTTTAAAATTCCTTTGAAGACAAGTCATGATTCTTATGCTTTTTCTTTGAAGGGTATATATGTACATCTGTGTTGTAAATAAATACTTTTTGTTCAAAT